GTCTCAGCTGCAGTGGCCACTGGCAATATCAGGTAGAGTGCCTTTCTAGGACTGGGTTAGCAGGAAAGGCAGCGAGGTTCCACAGGAAGGAAAAAAAAATGTATCAGCACCTAGGTTCTGAAGGGTTTCCAGAGAGGGTAGCAGTTTCTGCCATTTCAAAATGTTTTATTATATCTATTTTTAGTGCCATTATAAGTCACATATAAATCATTTTTCCCCCTCAGAAAAGGCCTTTTCCCCCCAAAAAACTATAAACTTATTCCTTTGATTTAGGAACTTTAATTCCATATCAAAGGTGATAAATTGGAGAGAAAACGTTTGTGTACATCATTCATTAGATTTAGGTTTGTTTTAATATAAGTTATACTTCTATTTCATTAATCTACTGGAATATATTTTGTTAAAATAATGAAATATGACACATGAGAAATATTTTGTCACTGAAATTAAAGTTTAGTGAAAAAAATTCACCTTAAGAATGATCCGAAGGATTAACCCAATATCCTGGAGTCATGTTCTCACTTTATTTGATATCTATCAAAAATTAAAGAATTGAAAAATATCAAAAAAAATGAATAATATGCTTTAAAGTGGAAACAAAATAAAAGAAAAGAAACTTTTACCCTTTCTTTTCATCTCTAGTTTGACACTTTCAGATTAATGTTATAATCATAAAATATGTCAATAACAATGATAAAATTTAATTAAATGTTTGCCAAATATTATGCATAAATGAATGTTCCTGAAGAGGGAAAATTTAGTCAGCATAAAATTGATATTTGACAAAATTTGTACTGTCATGCATCTCAGGCAGTAGATTATGAAGATATGTGTATAGTAGTCTATTATAAATAGTTATTATATAATAAAAATATTTTTCATACAGCATACAGTTTTCATATTGTTATGATCAAAAAAAATCTATTAGCAAAATTAGTTAGGACACATTTTCAATTTTATAGAAGTATAACTAAAACCTTTCTCTTGCTTCTCATATCAATTTATTCTAATTATACAAAAATGGATTTATATAATGTCCTCTTGCATCACTAAATTAATTTAAATAATTGCATTTTCTGATATTTGATTTCTTTCTCGAGTTAAACAAGAGCTACCATGGGCTTGATATCATATACCAAACCATTATGAATATACAAGTTTAAATCAAAAAAGGGATAGAATGGAATAGGATGTTCAAATTTTAAATAGGCTCAGGGAATACTTCAGAAGAGGAGGCAGAAAGATTGCAAGAGTGAAAGCATCAGGAGCTTGCTGTGAAATTCCATCTGCTAATAACATCAGTAGCTGTTCTTGTAAAGTCTCAACAACCCGACTGTCCAAATGTGGGATGAACAAGGATGAAACCAATGAACACGACAAATAGTACAAGGCATAGCTCACAAGGACTCAACACTACACAAAGAACTGCGGGCCTCTTTTCTTATTTGCAGAATATGTAATGTATGATTCAGCATATTCTAGGCAAGTGCTCTACCACTGACCTGAATCTTTAGTCCTGTGTTGAGGTGTAAAGATTATTTCTGTTGGATTTTTGATTATACACAGAAGAGTTCTCATCTTCTATTTTTGTGACATTGGGATATAAAATAGCCCATGAGAGTTCTTTACTTCATGTGATTCAGCTTTTATTTTTAAATCATTTGGGTCCATTTTCCTAAATAAAAGAACAAGCCTCAAGGCTGTGAAAGCTCCAACCTCTGTAATTATCTAAGTGGGCTCAATTATGTTTCCTATATCCTGTTGCATATCCCCTGTGATATAAAATTGTTATGGTAATGATAAGTATTTTTTTCAGTCTTAATCAGGGGCATTGTGATATGTCATTGCTTAGAAATGTATAGAATAATTACATGTTTTCAAATTATATTTCATATTTGGCAATAACATTTTAATTGTGTTCAAGACACTTGTTATTATATCATTTTATAATTCCTTTAAACCTGACCTTCAAAATATTCTCCCTATTTATTTTATTATAATGGATACTGCTTTTAATGATGTAATTTTTGCATTAAAGTCTATGAGCCAATATAACATCATAATACAAACATTATGATGAAGTATGATAGCCTAAAATACAAGAGCAAAAATGTTTGGACCTTAAGATCAAATGGCAGAAGCCCATCTTAGGGGACTATTATGTAAGCCATAAAAAGCTAAGCCTACTAAAGAAGTTGAATAAAAGATGAGTTTTCTGTGACAGAGACTTGTTCTAACCTCAGGTATTTAAATATTTTCATGTATTTTTCTTCTCATGTGAGCAGACTTACTGTGTGTGCCTTTAAAATATTCTGTGCAGCTGTTCCTATGTAAAATAAAAACTGCCACCTTGTTGGTTAATATCCATTCATATTAAGAAAGCCTAAACTACTTCTAGAACCTAATGTTCAATTTCTTAATCAATTTTCTATCCTTCCATGTGTTGTAAGAAACACAACTGTTTGAATGACAGAATCGTGGTGTGACTTCCTTTCACTTTGTTTACTTACTCATTTATTTTAATTAGCTATAATAAGAATGTGTACTAAAAACAACTTGACTTTGTTTATAACAGTCTAGTCAAGTATGTTAGTTAATTCAAGGAAAGATCAGTGCACTCTGACTCCCTATGAGTCATCCCCTTCATAGAATAGATGACTTCTGGACTGTTTGTAAATGTTGTTAGAACTAAGGTTTTCATTTACATATGCTCTTACTATTTTAAGAAAGCATATGATGGCCTCTAGTGGCACAGAAAGAAACATCAGTATTTACATTTTTTAATCAATAATAATTAAAAGGTACAATTTTAATGAAGTTGAATGTGTACATCTCATAATTATATTTTCCAGGATTCATTGTAATTTCTAAGACATTCTCAAAGCATCAATACACAAAACTGTATAAAGTACATAAAAATCACATGGAACATGAGTGCCCAAGTGCACAGGAGAGTATGGAACCTCATCATGAGCTGAAATACAAGAGTGTAACTGTAAGTTTTCCTGTGTCCCACTTAGTCCCGCAGCACCTCAGACCCAAGTAAACATACAGAGGCTTATATTAATAACAAACTGTATGGCTTATGGCTCATCCTTCTCACTAGCTTGCTCTTGTAACTTAAATTAACCCATTTCTATTAATCTATGTTTCGCCACATGTTCCATGGCTTTACTGGTCTGCCTGCATATTGTTCCTTGGGTGGCAGGCTGGCTTATCTCTCCACCTTTCTCCTGTCTCTCTGCTTGGATTTCCTGCCTACCTCTAAGCTGCCTTACCATAGGAACATTATTTACTAGCCAATGGGAGCAACACATATCCACAGTATACAGAAAGACATCCTGCAGCACAAGAGAATATAGTATCATATCAAATTAGTCACCTTTGGAGAAATTTACAGAAACTCTAATTTTTAGATAAACACAAGTAAATAACTGCTACCATAAAAGTTAAAAAGAATTTAAGGTATGCCAAATAATGCACTATTTTATACATTGCAATATTTTATCATATAATAATGTATTGTGGTCACATTACTGCCACTTGTATATCATAGCACAGGATTTTGACTTTAAAAGTCATATCTTTAGGTCAGTACTCTGGATCATAAGGGAAAAAAGGGTTATCTTCTCAGCCTAAACCCTCAAAACTTACTTTATATCAACTCTGTGGATAACATGACATTTAACTAGAGAACAGTAAGAAATATATCAAAAGTATTTGTTGTTATTGTTTATAAGAATTAATGGAATAAAATGATTACTATACTGTCAATTTTATTTAAAAATATTTATGATTAAAAGCCTATAATTATTGAATATATTCATGATTGGGTTGGACTTTAGCATCAAATTATCTAAACTACTTTTAAAAAATATTCTTTCAAGCTCTTTTACTACTTTTACAAATTACAAAAGCACATTTTACTTTCAATGTTGTTAATAATAATTCATATATGCTACTACCCATATCAAAGTCAAGGAATAAATTCAGGTTTTATTGCTACTATGTTTAAAATACTGGGTAACCTTAATGAGAGAGAGAAGTGGTTCTCAGCCATATGACCCCATTTAGGACTACATTATGATTCATAGCAGTAACAGAATTAGAGTTATATATAGAGAAAACAATGAAATTATTTCATGTTTTGGGGTCATCACAAAATGAGTTGTATTAAAGGGTCACAGTTTGGGAAAATTGAAAACCATTGAGAATGAGGATATTGTTTTCTGTTTTTAAACATTTATTTAATCTGTCTCTCTCTCTCTCTTTCTCTCTCTCTCTCTCTCTCTCTCTCTCTCTCTCTCTCTCTCTCTGTGTGTGTGTGTGTGTGTGTGTGTGTGTGTGTGTACACGTACATGTGTATACCACATAACACATACTGAGGTCAGAAAACAGCAATTAGAAGTCAACATTCTCCTCTCCACTGTGTTGGTATTTGTTATCAAACTCATGTCTCCAGGCTTGGTAGAAAGAACCTTTACTACTAATCTATCTTCTCATCAGGGCTTTAAAACTATCCTGTGTGTGCTCACTTTTCTGATGTATAAAAACAAATTGACACTGCTTTCTTGGCCATTTAAGAATTGACTTAATATTGGAAACTCATTTTGAATACTCAAATCATAATTACTAAATAAAACTGAAGACTATCTGGAATAGACTCATTTTGGTGTATTCATTATATGCCTATGTTGTCTTTATAAGCACACTGAGTAGAACCAGACAGACGCTGGGTGAGAACAGTGAGAATAGCACATACCTTGTTTTGAGATATTAATTTGATTGGCTTTTGATTACTCACTCAGACCTAAAATGATTTTACTGCGGGAGGGTTACGACAAAACAGAGGAGAGACCACCTTCATGGAGCAGTGATGACGCTGTGAAATGTGAGCTCCTAATAACCATCTCAATCAGCTACTAAAATACAGCTCTAACCATTAAGATTGTTGTACTACTCTTGCAGAATTATTCATTAAACAAGCTCTTTCACAACAGTTTTCTGGCAATGTGTATGACTTTCACGTGAGTACACACCTACTTTTAAAACCAGTTTAGGCTATGTATATGTGTGTTTTCAGGACTGAGCAATTGTTACTGAGTAACCAGTTGTGATCTTCCAAGGGAAGACTATGTCTCCCACTGTCAGCATTCCGTGTTGTCTTTGTCTTGTTTTTTATAGGTTTGAGGTCTGGTTGTCTCCTCTCAGCAGGCATCCACTTTGGCACGCTTATTGGTGTCCTTGTTCACCTCATGTTTAGTCAGTCATGGTGGTGACACTTTATGAGTTTAGCTGCTGATGTCGCTAGAAAACACAGTCTCAAAGAAAACTCATTGATCCTCTGGCTCTTACAATCTTTCTGCCTCCTCATCCAAAATGTTCTGTGAGCCTTGTGTGAAGGAGGAAGAGTTATTTTGTAGGTGGGAGAGTCTGGAGAGAGAAAAGATGACGGAGAATGATGCAATTATATTATAATCTCAAAAATAAAAACAATAATTAAAAATGCTTCCATTAACTAGAAAATGTTAATCAAAGAAGACAAATAAATTTAAACATTTAATTGTGATATGATACTGATTTTTTGAAGTTTGAAACTATAGTGTTGGGAAATCCCATGAGAACAATTAGACTTGGCATGGTAGTTTGCAATTTTTTCTTGACTTTTTATGGTTATACAATGCATGTTAATAATTGAAAATTTACTTTGGAGTTGCATTTGTATACTCACTAAAAACTATAGTCTTGTGATTTAGAGAAAAACGATTCAAATAGAAATCCTCTCTCATCTCATTTTCTGTCTGTCCATCTATTTATCTACCTAGTTCCATATTTTTGTCATCTATCTGTCATTTACTTAGTCTTTTAAATTCACCTATGTGTCTAAGGATGAATTATTGATAATGATTCCTTACTTATTTGGGGAGAGTTGCCACTGCCTATATCCATGTCAGTTAAAAGGGGATATGAAAGATGCCAGGACTCACAAAAATGGATCAGCAGGGATAAGCATACAATCCTTCATGACACCACCATGTATTCTGAGCTCTATCCTCTCCGCTAGTCAGGACCAATTTATGTTGAGAGTGCATTGTTCTCTCTGTTTTGTGGACACAGATATCCAAAGCACTCCAGTAAAATCCATAAATTACACTTCAGTGGCATTCTTTTTTGTGCTCTGCTTGGAATCCGCCCTTCATGGAGATCAAGGTCCTGCATGATACAGACAGTTATGAGGATGAAAGTCAGAAAAGTTCCTGGTGAGTCACTGGAAGAGAATACTTGCTTTTACATATTTCATGGACATGTGTCCTAGAATATAACATAGAATCACCATACCAGACAGGAGCCAAATTTGATAAATACATTCTGCCTGTCATTTTAAATGATAAACCTGTTTCACAGTCTTTTTCTTCTAATTTGCTATGACAATGTATCTCTTAAAACTCATTCCTTCAATTTAGGAAGTGGATAAACTCTGGAAGACATGGTATACTGCAGAACCTGTAGAATTAATTTTCATGAGTACATTCCTTCATTTCCTTTCCAGTAAAAAGAGGGAAGTTTCCCTTGGTAATATACTATGTTCTATAAGATTCTGTGTTTCTAGAAGAATCACCCAAGTGTATCTGGAGTGGGGGTGCTTTAAAAGGTGTAACAAGAAATTGAGATAGACCCAGATCAGAAGAAAATGCTAGCCCTTCTAAGACAGGTATGATATTGCATGTTTATCTTGCTATCTGGTATGTATTGGTCTTCTCAGGAAGTATTTTCAACTAAAGTGAAGTGTTCATAATGGCTTGGTCATACTTTATAAGTAAGGGTCTATGGCATGTATATTCTACAATTAAGAATACAAGATCCAGGTATATATTTATCTCATCATCTTCTATATGTAGAAAGAATTCAATGATGAGAAAATGGTTTGGTTATAGAGACATGGAGGTTAAAAAGTTAACTCATAGACTGACAAGATGATGAACATTTAGTGAATTATAAAGTGCTTTTGATTCTGTTCCCATATTAGATTCTTTCTTAACATATTACAAATTGAGTAACAAACTGAATTCCAAGTCAACATAGACTAGATAATAAGAACTTTATCTTATTTAGAAAAAAGAACAATAAAAACAACAAGTTTAAGGAGAAAAATACAACTGGTAGCAAATATCAATAAAATAACATGGATTAGTAAGTTGAGTTCACAATATATGGATACTTTCTTAATTTTATTACATAGTTAGTCAAGTGTTTTTCAGATTTCAAATTATATATGTTAAATCCCAATATATAAAATAGCAGTTCAATGAGCCCTCTACACTCCCTGTGGGTTTCTGTGTGAATTCAATTGGGCTTGGACTAAAGTGAAAGAACTATCCAACTTCATCCATTACCCACTACAGTTATAATGAAGGAAAGGTTATGTGGAATAAAAATTATAAGGCCCAAGTACCTGAGCACAGCAGCAGTTTATCAAGAGGATTAATTTTCTATAATGAAGAAAGAAAGAGAGAGAAAGACAAAGAATGAGAGAAAAAGAAAGAAAAAAAGCTATTTTTCTTATAAAGCAGACTCTTAATGGTAGCAAATTGAATGCTCAAGAGTGAAATGTAGAGCTTATTCTCAGTAGAATATTTAGTAGCCTGCAGAGACTTGGTTAGTATAATTTTTAAACTATTTACCATTTAATACTGATACTTCAAGTAAATTAATTTATACCAATAAAAAAAGCTTTGGCTTTCCAAGTCTAACATCAATTATGTTATTGAAACATGAGTTAATTGTTTTCATCCACTTCTTTATTGAGTCCCACTTGCTTTCCCTTGGGATTAGTGAGGTCTTTTAGGGTATGCTATACATCATCTATTATAAATGCTCTTGAGAGAAAGAATTTTTTTTCATTTAATTTTTTTTATTAAGAAACTTTCTATTCACTTTACATACCAACCACAGATCCTCCCTCTTCCTACCTCCCAGCCTTCTCCCCCAAAAAAACCCACACCCCATTCCCACATTTGCCAACTCAAAGTCTCCCATGGGGAGTCAGCAGAACCTGGCACACTCAGCTGAGGCAATCCAAGCCCCTCCCCCCTGCACTAAGGCTGTGCAAGGTGTCATACCCTAGGCACTGGGCTCTAAAAAGCCCAAAAATGCACCAGGGAGGATCCTGATACTCCTGCCTGGGGGCCTCCCAAACAGTTTTAGCTAAACAGCTGTCTCCTGTAACCAGAGGGCCTATTCTAGTCCTATGGGGGCTCCATAGCTATTAGTCCACAGTTCATGGGTTTCTACTAGTGTGGCTGGTCATCTCTGCACGAGATCATGATGAGAAAGAATGGAAAAGTTAGGGGTATGTTAAAAATGCTGAAAATATACTCCCTTTCAATGTATCCCAGAGTCTGTAGAATTCAGCAATGTGCTTTTTGCTCAGTCCTGTTGCTGATTTGCTATCATGGGGTCTAGTATTTGTCTACTATGAGTTATAGTTTGTATAGTTTTGTATAGTCTTATAATCTTTCATTGCTGTTGTCCTTCTATTAAAATTATGGAAGAGTTCATATTGCAAGCCCTTAGAGATGACCAAATTTTAAAGTCTATACTTGTAATCTTTTATTAATTAGTTTTTTGTGACCTTCATTAGGGAGTAGGAAAATATTAACATTTAAATAGTTTGCAACTTATATGTATTAGAAGATATTCCAAATATGAGAACCCAATGGGTATTTTTATTTTTTAACTTTTATATTTTTCTTTTCTTCTTGTTAGAGAAAAATGCTGTGTAAAATTGACTTAAGGAACATGTTGTTTATTCTGGCTCACAGCTCGATAGTACAGCGCATCATGATGGGAAGTCATGACTGCAGAAACGTGAGGCAGCTGGTCACATTGATCAGCATTCAGTAAGCAGAGGCAGGCCTTGTGTTCAGTTGCTTCCTCCTTTATTGACTCTGAGAGCTTAGCGCATGAGATGATGCTGCACATGTCCACAGTGTGGTCCCTTGCTGTGGAAAAACCGCTGGGCATAGCCTCACAGATATACAAAAGGTGAATTCCTGAGTCATTCTAAATCTTTCCAAGTGGATGAGTAATGTTCAGCATCATATTCTTCTGTGAAAGCTGTACTAATTCTCTGGCTCTTGTACACTCAGATTTGCTGTGACTCACTGATGTTAGGGGAAGCTCAGCAGGAGTAAAATGAAAAGAAAAAAGAAAAGTCAAAACAATATGGTGAGACATAAAGTCTGACAGAAAATAACTAAATACTCACAAACATATCAAATAGTTTCAGAGAGAACAAACATTTCTTTAAACAGAAGTGATGAGGTTTGACTAGGAGTGGAAAAGTCTGTATTCCTGCATAGTGTGTGAAATGGACCAGGTAATTCCAAGAAAGAAGAAGAAGAAAGAAAAAAAAAAAACAGGAGAATGTTTTTCTTCAAGGTTTATTTTGCTGAAAGCGATAATGAATGTCAGAGAGATCAAGGCTGTTTTCTCCCAGGATAGACCTGGTGAGTTTTGCCAGGGTAGGATAGCTACAGTGCCATTGGCAGTCTGTTATTAGAATCATCAAAGTTCACCTAACCTCAATCAGTTACTCCACTTACAAAGCAAACAAAACGGCCTTGCTGAGCATTACCAGCACGTGGTATTTTATGTTATATTTTTGAAAATACAACTGTTTTATAAATGGAAATCTGGAAAATTAGAACCCTTTCTGAGTTATCACTATAGGAATACTGGCAGGTCAAATACCTTGGAAAAGAAATTAAGGAGACCTTTGTATCTCCCAGTAAGAATTCACTCAGTAGGGAAAATGATTCAAATAATTAATTTGCTCATAATAATAGATTTTATTCAAATTCTCTAAATTTATCTCTAGAACAGTTTCAATTTAACCACTTACTTGCAGAAAATGTCCCACCATGCTTGACATTGTTCATCTGTCACGTATCGGTTCTTTAGGAGACTGCATCAAGACAGTAGAAATGTTTACTTCTCTTCATTTCAACCACAGTTAGCTGCATTTGTAAAAACAAGCCTCACCAAATCAAAAAACGTTGTGCTGACAAGCTGTGAGCAATGACAATAATTCCACTAATGCAGTTGCCTAGTACACTAATTATCCTAATGACGGTTCAGTTGTCTGATAATCGCATCCCCCAAGGACCATATACAGTCAATCCACACAGCTGCAGAGTCCTCTCCAGGCTCATTTTGCTGTTTCCTGCCTCGCTGAAAACTCCATTACATTACTATATTAGCATAAACAATCATCATACCAAACATGAGCTGAACATACAGACAGTTAAAGTGCTGAAGGGTAATGGAAAAAATTCCTAGATGAGGTGCTAAATCCAGTCACTCAATTTTGTAGTTTCTGATAGAGCCATAACTTTAACTTCAAATCTGCGTCCATCTAAAGTAGGGATATGGGTTTTTAATGTTTGAAGAAACTTAAAGAATGATATGTTTATTTAAATCAATGACTGTTTATAAATATTTTGAAAACATAGCTGAAAGGGTTAACCTAAATTAAGGAATGTATTAAAAGCCCTATAAAAATCTATGATTCTTGTACATAAGTCAATTTTTAAAAATAATTTACATTTAAAATATTTACTCAGCACAGAGGTATAATAGGAAACATTGCACAAAGGGAATAGAAGTCGTATTAATAGTTTTCCAAATTTAATATTGTAAGTTTTGTTTATTTATCTTTCTAGAAAGAATCTCATAGTTCCAAATTTCTTTTATAACAGAAGGTGTCTTTGACTTTTGATCTGACTGACTTACTTTCAAAGTCCTTGAATTACTGGGATGTGCCATGTGTATTACTTAAATCATTGCTTTTACAAAAGTGGATTAGTACATATACTGTTAGTTTTTTTTACAGTTATTACAATATGAACTTATGAAAATTAAAAGACCTTTCAAATGAATATTCAAAAACAGACCCAATGTTTACATCAGAGAGATTATCTTTAGTTACTGGCAATTTAATTAAATTTTCCATCTACCACACTTGAAGAAAATATATATTTTTCCTCAAGTGATTACTATCCAAAAGAGATAAAACTGCATTGCATATTAATGCTATAGTAATCCAAGATTTATATAAAATTGTTTCCCAATAGAATTAACAATTTATAAATTTATTAAAAATTAGTCTGATAAATTAAGCCACTACTATTCACGTATTTTTACTTGGTGTTGCATATAATTTTGTTTTTGCTTCAATTTACTTGGTTTGCCTCAGTGAGTGATAAAATACAGCAAATAGACACAGGAATAGAACAAACACAAAGGCTCCGGTCCTCCAAAAAGATGCGGAGATAAAATTGGTTTGAGAGACACTCAGTTTGTAGATAAAAGGAAAGGACAAAGGTTTCCCTTGCAGCAATCAATGCAAGTTCAGGCTCTGCTGAAAGAGACAAGTCTGTCTGGTAAGTTACTCAGATAACAGAGAAGTTCCGAGTAATGCTTGTCTAATTTGGGGAAGAGCATCTGAGGGAGGAGTCTCACCATCATGGTCATCTGAAAAGAAACTCCAGAAAAATGGTCATCTGTGGGAGGAAGCCCATTTTTGTACATTGGGTCTCTCAATCACTGTTGGGTCCTGGACTGAATAAAAGAGGAGAAAGAGAAGTTATCAGCAACATTTGCTCCTCTCCATGCTTCCTAACTGTGTACTCAACATGACAAGTCACTTCATTCTTCTGCCAGCATACCTTCCTTGTCTTGGTATCCTCAAATAATAAGCCAGCATCTTTTCCTCCCTAAGGTGTTTTGTCCAATAATTCGTCACTTTAATAAAGAAAGTAACTCATACAATTACCACACAGAAGACATGGACCAATGTTCTGGTAATTTCACTAAACTTTTTACAAAATTAGTGTGAGCAGAATGTGGCTGGAGTATCAATGTTTCTATTTTGTAATACAAAATAGATTTAGGAATTTATGAATATTTAAAGTATTTATTTCTGTCTTTGTCTGAGGTCAGTAGAAGAAAGTGACCAATCACTGACAGTTATCATTGAAAGATATACAGAATCAAAACTGTGAAATTTTATGTTTTCTTTGACTACTTGCAATCTTTGTTGCTGAAAAGGACATCTTCCAACCTAGGTATAACTGCTGCCCATATATACACCATCACTTTTGTGCTTTAGAGTTGTAGAAGTTTTAGATAAAGGCCTATAACAATTTTAGTTTGATGAAACACTTGGCAAATTAAGGGCTAATGTAAGAGAAGGAAGAAAAGCCAATATAATGGTTACCTTGATATTTTCCATTCGTTTTTTATAATTTATTTTTCTCTCCTAAATATACCCTGACCACAGTTTCCCCTCTCTCCAGTCTTCCTAGCCTCCCTCTACCCTTCCACTCCCTCAGATCCACTCCTGCTCCATTTCCTTTCAGAAAAGAGCAGATCTCCCAGGGATATCAACAGAACAGGGCATAACAAGACTGGGCAAGGCAAACCAGTATGAGAAAGGGTCCCAAGAGTTGGCAAAAGAATCAGAAACACACCCACTCCCACTGTTAAAAATCCCTCAAAACATCAAGCTAACAATCACAACACATACACAGAAAATCCAGTATAGACCCATGCAGGCTCCATTAATTGTTGCTTTAGTCTATTTTGGCCCTTATGAGCCTTGCTTAGTTTTGTCCTTTATCTGCAGGTGTCCTTGACCCTTCTGGCCCCTACAATTCTTCCCTTCTTTGGTGGTATACGGCTAGCTCTCTAATTTGGACTCTCTGTTCTCCTAATGTTTAGCTGTGGCTCTCTGCATCAGTTCCCACAAGCTGCCTGAAGAAGCCTCTCTGATGACGATGGGGCTAGGGACCAATCTCTGAGTATAGCAGAATATCATTAGGAATCACTGATTATTTTCCCCTAAGTCCTCTGAGTTATCCAGCCACTGGTTCTTGGTCACCAAAGCAGTGTCAGACATGGGCTCCCTCTCACGGCATGGGCCTCACATTAGACCAGTCATTGTTTGCCTACTCATACAAGTTATGCACCTCCATTGCACTAGCACAACTTGCAGGCAGGATAGATGATAGGTCAAAGGTTTTATGGTTGGCTTGGTAACCCAGTCCTACCTTTGGGAGTTGCCTGGTTCAGTTCAGGCTCCACATCCCCCACTACTAGGGGTCTTTGCTGGGGTTGTCTTTGTAGCATCCTGGGAATTTCTACTGCACTGAGTTTCCAGATTGCCTTCCCCACAAATGCCCTCCAATTCTAGACATATCTCCCTGTACTCTCTTCCTCTATCCCTCCTGCTTCACTTGATCCATCATCTTCCCATTCCCATATGCCTCCTGTCTACCTTCAAAATCTATTCAATTTTCTCTTCCCAGGAAGCACATGTGTCCCCCTATATCCCTTCTTGTTACTTGGCCTTTTTGGGTCTGTGGACTGTAGAATAATTATAATCTACTTAACAGCTAATGTCCACTTTGAGGTCTGGGTTACCTCAGGATGATCTTTTTTAGTTCTATCCATTTGTCTGCAGCTTTTATAATATCATTTTTTAACAACTAAATAATACTCTATTGCGTAAATACTCACCACATTTTAATTATCCATTCTTTGATTTACAAACATATAGGTTATTTTCAATTTCTGGCTTTTATGAAGAAAGCTTTTATGAACATAGTTGAGCAAGTATCTTTGATGTAGAATAGAGCATCTTTGGGTATATGCCCAAGAGTGGTATAGCTGGGTCTTGCGATAGATTGATCCACAGTTTTCTGAGGAACTGCAATATTGATTTCCAAAGTAGCTGTATGTGGAGTCCCACAAAGGTTGCCTAGTGAGATATGAGCTTGCTTTACCTAGCAGGATTGTATTAGAGGATTACTTGACCACATGTGTGGTTACCAGATGATTGGAAGGGTTCGCATTAGGCTGTGCTAGGGCAAGGTCTTTTGCTCCACCACTTGGCATTCCTATAAAAGGCCCTTTAAAAGATACAGGAGGGTCTAGTGGATATTGATCCAGGCCCTCCTGAGGCTATCCTGTGTTTCTATCTGTTTCTATCCCCTCTGTCTTTCTATATAAATATTTCTCCCTCCTCCCTCCTCAAGAGCACCCTGGGATAAAAGTGGGAGACCTCCCACAGAGAAATGAGTAGGCCTCCCACAGCGGTACAACTGTGTACTCACACCAGCAATGTGTAAGGGATCCCCTTGCTGCACATTCTTCCCAGCATGAGTTGTCACTTGAGTTTATGAACTTAGTCATTCTGAAAGGTACAAGATGGAATCTCAAAGCAGTTTTGATTTGCATTTTCCTGATGATTAAAGATGTCGGACATCTATTTTTTTAGCTTAGTATTTGAAGGTTTATTTCTCATATAACAACACAGAAATAGCAAAATCCTTCCAAGAGGTGTGGATTCTGGTTCAGATCCATATTTATTGGTCGAATGACCTTGAACAGGTAAGCTTCTTCACTTGCAAATGGAAAACAATACATATAGAATTTTATTTTTGCTTAAACTAATGTATTTGATCTTTAAAGACTTAATTTTAATCATGTTGTGTGTATGCACGTGCATGCATGAACACATATACAGGCACCTATGAAAGTCAGAAGATAGTGTTGGATCTTCTAGATCTTGAGTTACAAATTGTAAGCTGACTGATGTGGATGGTGGGAATCAAATTTCTTTAAGTGATTTTTGGCCATTTGGGATTCCTCTGTTGAGAATTCTCTGTTTAGATCTGTACCCCATTTTAATTGGATTATTTGATTTCTTGATATCTAGTTTCTTGGGTACTTTATGTATTTTGGATTAGACCTCTATCAGATGTGGTGTTGGTAAAAAAAAAAAAAAATTCTCATTCTAGAGGTTGTTGCTTTATCCAGTTGATGGTATCCTTTGCCTTACAGAAGTTTTTCAATTTCATGAGGTCCCATTTATTAATTGTCTTTCTTAGCACCTGCAATATT